TATTGTTGAGGTCCAGGCTCTGCGAAGGCCAATCCATGACTGTTCCACTTTGCAATTTTATCCAGGTATACTCCATTGACAGTGTGTTTGGGATCATTGTGATGTTTAAAAATGTAGCTGTGACCAATCGCATAGCTGTAAACCAGGGGTGGCCAACTCCAGGCCTCGAGGGCCGGTGTCCTGCAGGTTTTAGATGTGTCCTCGATCCAACACAGCTGATCTAAATGGCTAAATGACCTTCCCTGGTGACAGAAAAGGACGACTCTGAAACTTTTTTCCTTTTCTTCTTAATGAGAGTGATGATGATTTTCATTTTGGTCAATATTTACAGTTTTACTGGTGATTAGGGCTGCTCAATTAATCGAATTTTAATCACGATTACGATCTGGCCTTTCAACGATCATTAAAAATGACTGAGCCGATTATTAGCCCCTCCCTCGTGCTTTACTCTCGCGCTGCTCCGTGTGGCAAATCAAGCGCACCTCTCTGCATTTCGAACACGTGTCACAACAATTAAGAGCAGCGGTCTCCAACCTTTTTTGCGCCACGGACCGGTTTATGCCCGACAATATTTTCATGGACCGGCCTTTAAGGTGTCGCGGATAAATACAACAAAATAAAACTAGTACCGGTACCGAAAAAAATAAAATTTATTCCTAACACACGTGAAAAGACCAAGGAAAACCGAGTAAACGATCAAAACGATAACAAAATAACGCTGAAAACCAATAAAAACCCTGAAAACTATACATTTCACACCTGAGCCTCACCTCTCGCGGCCCGGTACCAAACGACTCACGGACCGGTACCGGTCCGAGGCCCGGGGGTTGGGGACCGCTGATTAAGAGGACCCGAGGGAAGCTCGGAAAGCTAAGCAGAAGTTATTTGGAGAGGAGAGTGACTGCCGTTGGTTGAAAAGAGGTAAAAAAACCTTAAGTGTTGTGGAAACATTATGGGTTCATGAGTCAGACGTGGATCAAGTAGACACAGTGTGTAAACTTTGCTACAGTGTCGTAGCTGCACCACAGAGCAACACTGCAAAGTTCACTAAACATAGATGTTTACATTTTTCATTTATTTCTTATGTTGCAAACATTTGCACTGTTATCAGCATTTGCACTATTTTATATTATTTTTTTGACAATCTTTAAAGTCATTATTCAACACATTGTTATTGTTAAATAAATATCGTCAAATAATCGAGATCTCAATTTCAGTGAAAATAATCGTGATTATCATTTTTGCCATAATCGAGCAGCCCTACTGGTGATGAGGTTTCACGGTGACACTCCCGAGATCTGCGTAAATGCAAAAGAACCAAGTTTTGTGTAAATTCTGTGGTGTTATTCTGGCTTTTGGAATATAATTTAAAAACTAATTGTTCAACAGTTATGGCTGAAGCATGACAAAGAGAATTTTAATAGGTGCAATTTCCTGTTTTTCAAAGCTCCTCACTGTGTGATGAGGTGTCAGTGTGTGAAATTGGAGATAGTGGTAACGCAGTCACACTCTCTGACTGCCTGTTTTGGTCTAGACAAAAAAAGAGTGCACATCCTCTGCAGATAGCCTGTTTAAAAATGTGAGAGAAGAAGCTAAAGCTTTAAAGTGGTTGTTTGCACTGGTTAATCTTTAACTGGCCAATAAAAATCCACCACACACAGCTTACAGGATGCAGTTTCTTGTTTGCTCAGGCTGACTGTTTCGATCTGTTTGCTTTCTTCTTGGTTGGCTCACGTCCACTGAAGGGTTTGGTTTGAAACACTTTCTCCTGCTGCGCTTTCTTCACGCACAGCCTGCTTTTGCTGATTCTTGTTTTCTCTCAGGAGTGTATGCAGATGTGTTGAGTTTTAGTTAAACATTAATTTTTTCTTGTTTCCAGTAAACAGACTACTTTCCTCCCCTGTTGTCTATATTTTAAGCTAAATAACTGAGGTGTCAGAAATGGCCTTGTCCCCCCTCCGGATTCTCCTTTTCTCTCACATGATGTCATTTTTCTCCTATCTTTTCCTCTCACCCGTTTCCAATTATAGCTCAGCCTCACACCAGCTTCACCAAGACAAAAGGAGGAGAGCTGATTAAGTTTAATTTAGCTGCAGCTGTTAAATGGGAAGGCAGCTTTAGCAGATTGTTCACATTTGGCGAGCGGAGCCTTAAAGCTGGCAAACAAAAAGCTGAACATCTGAAATATGTGAATGGGTGTGTCTGAGGAGGGAGAGGGTTTATTTACTCTGGTGTTAGATCACAGTTGTAATGCGTGTTCAGCGAGTCTGCAAACTCAGAGATGGATTCATGGAACAATCGGGATTCATTTGGCTTTTTGAAGCGATCAGATCCAGAGATAAAGCTGCGCAGATGTCCACATGACTCACATTTTCTTCTGAAACAGTGTGATGGGATGCGTAGCTGTTCACTCCACCTTTGGACTGAGCGCGTGCAAATGAGGGTTTTTTCCTGTAGGCTAGAAATGGAGGGAGAAAAGTGGAAAAACAAAAGTCCAGCAGTGTTTGATGTGGCTGTCCAACTCCCTCCAGGTTTCTCCACCCAGCTTTGTACTGCTGTATGTTGACACACTCAACTTTCCAACAAAGCACTGATGGTCAGGAAGTGGGAGAAATATTGAAGTCTTAAGGGCTCAAAAAAAGAAGTTAGCTGGAAACTTCAGGGTGACTTCACAAGACTGCCACGACCTGGATGACTGAGCAGCTCCAAAGACGAGAAATATTAAACTAAACTATTTTCTTTCCTTTCTAGTTTGGCAGCATTCATAACATATAGATAAGTTAAACTCAGCTGCTTGTAAAGCTAATTTCTTGCGTGTGCTTTCACTATTATGATCTGACAACAAGAACTGTAAACTCTTACATCGTTCTGTTGTGTCCAAAACAAAAAGAAGAAAATCATGTACTCTCTGGGCAATATTTACTTTAGTTTTGTATATATTCATTTTGTTTTGTTGTTTCCTTTAAAAACTTTAGTGCTGTAAAAATGAGAACAGTAGCACTTTGAGACTTTGATCTTGGTAATACTTCATTTAAAGATGGAGCACGTTTGGGGTTTAACATGAAACAAAGGCAGATATGAAATGTAAAAGTGAGATCAGACATCAGATGTGACATATTTGGATGCAAACTGTAATGTGATATTTGGATTTGTCATATACCACAGTCATTTCCTAAATGCTAACAATACAAACAAAGGCAGTTTAACTTGAACCCTTTATGTGAACCGCACATCTCGGCAGAGGGGATTTTTCTGCCTTTGTTCAGACTGCAGTACGTTGTGAATGGTTTGCGTTACTGTGATACGCCGAGTATCCCTGAAAAGCTCGTTTTCACTTCCTTCTGAAAACCAGTTTAATTTTGTCTCAACCAGGGAGAGTAACAGAGGTACAGTCGTTTACAGGGAGGGAGAGCCTTCAGTTTTCAGGCCCCTCTTCTGTGGAACCAGCTTCCAGTTTGGATTCAGGAGACAGACACTATCTCTACTTTTAAGATTAGGCTTAAAACTTTCCTTTTTGCTAAAGCATATAGTTAGGGCTGGACCAGGTGACCCTGAATCCTCCCTTAGTTATGCTGCAATAGATGTAGGCTGCCGGGGGATTCCCATGATGCATTGAGTTTTTCCTTTCCAGTCACCTTTCTCACTCACTATGTATTAACAGACCTCTCTGTATTGAATCGTATCTGTTATTAATCTCTGTCTCTCTTCCACAGCATGTCTTTTATCCTGTCTTCCTTCTCTCACCCCAACCGGTCGCAGCAGATGGCCGCCCCTCCCTGAGCCTGGTTCTGCCGGAGGTTTCTTCCTGTTAAAAGGGAGTTTTTCCTTCCCACTGTCGCCAAAGTGCTTGCTCATAGGGGGTCATATGATTGTTGGGCTTTTCTCTGTATCTATGAAGCGCCTTGAGGCGACATTTGTTGTGATTTGGCGCTATATAAATAAAATTGAATTGAATTGAAAGTTTAAAAAGGGTTAAAAAAAAAGGGTTAAGCATAGTTTTAAAGATAAAATTTTTCATGAAAGTTTGACCTTATTTGACCTTGAAGAGGTCAGACGTCCAAAGTAATGCGGTATTTAGGATCGCCACATATCATTCCCTGTATCCCCAATCTGATTTACCAAAAAAATACAAAGTAGAAAAGTGGCATGTGTGGGCTTCTTTAAAACGTGTGCTTTAAAGGCAAACGCTGTGTGATAAATGGCTAACAGCATGGCTGACAAGGCAGTAACCAGCGTGGTTTCAGTCATTTTTCTCCTCACGAGACGAGCATTAACCCTGCGCTGGCGATAATGCTCATCTCAGCCGTCCGAAATGAGCCTCCAGAAAGCAGCGGGTGATGTCACCGTAGCCTCATCCATCTTTCCCCCCTCTGGGGACTGAACTCTGCGATGTGAGAGGGAGGGAGGGAGGGAGATCGCTCTCACTTAGCTTTGTTTTAATTGGTGTCAGTTTGTAGATGCTGCTAGTTTTTCTCGTCCTGCTGTTCTGCGTCAGGCTGGGAGTCCTCCCAGCGCTCTTTAAAACTCAGCCGTACTATCGTGTACCGTCTCCCCCTCCCCCGCTTCGCACTGCACTGTTTTTGTGAAGAGCATTGTCACAGCAGTGTGTAAAATACGTTGTAAAAAGAGCACACAAACACACTGGCAGTTTATTCCTAGCTGACTGTGGCTGCCATGTGGTAAATGGTCAGAAAGTCTTTGGTCATCTGCAGAGCTGTTATTTCACAGACCCACACAGTGAGTTTTCCTCTGGTCGAGGGCGGGGGCAGGAAGTCGGGGGAGGGGTCACCTCGGGTCAAAGCAGAGCTGCAGGAAAATGCCTCGGTGACCGCACCGAAGCAAGAAGCTGAATGCCTGAACGCACCATCCCACAACACACAAGACTGCAGTGGATTATGGGATGTTATAGATTGCTAAATTTAAGTAATTAGGTGTCCTCTCTGTTTAGTCTCAAATATTCAGACCCAATAATTAAACTTTCTTTTCTCTTCCTCTTTCAGGACTCTGAAATCGCTGCAGAATGCAACCATGTAAGTGTGTGTTTTTCTTCTTCTCTCTCTACCCTCACACTCCACCTCCTAGCATGCACTATGATGTCTTATAATTTTATGATGCAATGATTTTCCACTAAAAGTATGCACGAGTTTTGTAATGATTCATATAAGCAACCGATAGCCAACATCGGTACTACTGCATATTTTCCCTGCTATCCAGAAGTTTGTCACATTAACCAACAGAAAGACTTTATAATATAAAATGATTGACATGTTAAAATGTTGTTGTTTTTTTTATTTGTCCTGTTTTTCTTTCTTGGTTTTTTCCTCCACTCTGTCCTTATTGGTGTAATTGTCATACCTCGTATCTTCTCTCCCCCAGCTGCTGTGGAACTATAAGCTGAACCTGACCACAGACCCAAAGTTTGAGTCTGTAGCGGTCGAGGTCTGCAAGACAACCATCTCTGAGGTCAGTCGCTAAAAACAAATCTCTGCAGCTCAACTTGACGATCTTCATTCAAGCCTCCAAACAGTTAAAAGAACATCAGATAAACTGGCAAATTTAGAAGTTTTGAGACAGCTGGGATTTTGGAGTAGAGTTTAAAATCAGGAAGTAGAGCTGTCAGCACAATGTTAAGAAACCGCAGCCAGTTTTTATGTGCAAAATGTCGAAGAGATGTCAGCGGAATCGGGGCCGGGGCTGGTCGGTACTTATGTGTAATACTACAAGGTGGTGGAGTTAGTCAGTGTAACCTTTATTGACCTTTAAAACTGGTCGGAGCGGGCACGCTCCGTTTTGCGT